TTAACCTTGCTTCTTTTTGAGAGAAAGTGAGAGAGCACAAGCAGGGAAGGGGCAGAGAGAGGGAGACACAGAATCTGAAGCAGACTCCAGACTCTGAGCTGTCAGCACAGAGACCAATGCGCGGCTCAAACTCAAACTCCAAGATCATGACCTGAGCCCAAGTCTGACACTCAACTAACTGAGCCACTCAGGCACCACTTGCCTTTACATCTTACGAGGACACAGAAGTTCTTGCATATTGTCCACTTTTTCCATTAGAGCCCTTGGCTTGTTACTTTAAAGATCCCATTGTGATAATTCCACAATTATCTGCCTGTATGCCTGTAACTTTTGCTTAAAACCCATACATGATGTACCGGGTAAAAAGAAATGAGGTAAATAGGCCTCAGTGTGAACTTTTGTGTTTTTCTGGCCAGCAGTTAGCTGTGTTTACTGTTTGCCATAGCTGTGCATGTCAGAGACCTCCATGTCCTCCAGTGTCCTTGTTTTTCTCTCCTCTGTTATTTTTGGGTTTCCCTAGAAATGGCATCTTAAGTAGAGTCTGATCGTTATAGTTCTGTTAGCTGTAAACCACATTATTACCCAGGAGCCCTGTTGATGTGGTGGTAAGACTAAGGAGAGGGCAAGCATTCTGTAATCTGTTCTGTAATCCTATGATGGGGCCTCAGTCTTTTAATAGGTCTGTGCCCCTGGGCTGTGGCAACAGAAACACCCAGGGCCATCCGATTTATGCAGCATGCCCCACCCCTCCCGCTATCACACCTCCCCATTGCAATGTGATTTTGCCATTCCTTCCACCAGGAGGTGGAATCTATGACCTCACCCCTTAAATCTGGACTGGTCTTTTGACTTGCTTTGACCGGGAGAGTGCTGTGGACATGTCATTCTGTGACTCCCAAGCCCAAACCTTAAGAGGCCTGGCAATTTCTGCTTTCCCTTTCACTCTCAGGGTCCAACCTGCACACAGAAAAGCCCAAGATATCCTGATGGAGAAGGAAACCACTTTTCTTTCCTTTTTATAATTGTTTTTCAAATGTTTATTTTTCAGAGAGAGAGAGTGAGGGAAAGTGGTCACACACATGGTGGAAGGGCAGAGGAAGAGGGAGAAACAGATTTTTTTTTAATTTTTTTAAGGTTTAGTTATTTCTTTTGAAAGAGACAGAGACAGTGTGAGTGGCAGAGAAGGAGAGAGAGAAGGGAAAGAGAGAATCCAAAGCAGGCTCCACACTGTCAGTGCAGAGCCCAATGTGGGGCTTGAACTCACAAACCATAAGATCATGACCCAAGCCAAAATAAAGAGTCAAATGCTTACATGACTGAGCCACCCAGTCACCCCTCTTTTTTCTAATTTTCTTTTATTTAAGTATAGTTGACACACATTGTTACATGAGGCACCATTTTTGGAAAGTAAGTTGTTAAACATGTACCACCACTGGATAGGAAGGAAGCTTTCACTCTACATCCTTTTATGTCACTCTATGGCCTTTAAATTTTAAAACACATGACTATTAATTGTATAAAAAAAGTAAATGAACTTATTTTCAAAACATATTTTAGGGGCACCTGGGTGGCTCAGTCAGTTAAGCACCCGACTTCGGCTTAGAGCTTGTGAGTTCGAGCCCCACATTAGGGTCTGTGCTGACAGCTCAGAGCCTGGAACCTGCTTTGGATTCTGTGTCTCCCTCTCTCTCTCTGCCCCTCCCCTTTTGCTCTCTGTCTCGCTCTCTCAAAAACAAATAAACATTAAAAAAAAAACTTTTAAAAAAACGTACTTTAAACATGTGGCCAAATAAAGGAGAGGAAAAGAGAAGAGGCATAAGAAAATGCAGATGAAGTTCCAAAAGGCAACACCTAGAAACGTGTCCCCACCTGTGAGACAGGAGCACTGGCTTGACTGCTTTACAGGTCAGTGGCATGTGGGTAGTGAGGTCCACAGGTACCGACAAGTTTTACTTTCTCCCCCAATAAGAAGCCCTATTCCCACAGACTGACCAGCCATGGCCCACTCAGGTCTACAGAGAAAGCCTGACCTTTGGGAAAAATCACAGTTCTCGGGGAAGAAGGCTGTTCCATGTCTCAGGATGCAGGGATCAGCCCTGGTGCTCACCAGCTCTGCAGGAGGCATGCCCTGTGTGCACAAGCCCCTGAGGGAGCAAGCCCTCCAGGCACAGAGGTGACTCTCTTCGCTGCCAT